AAGGAGCTAGCACCAGAGATTCGGAAGAAGGAGTCGTGGAAGGAGTCCCAGTGTCAGGAGCAGCATCGAATGTCATAAAGTGGCAAATGCGCTATTAAATTGACACATATAAGTCAGAGGCGGAGGGCGAGTTACATAAGATTGCGCCAGATGGACGGGGACCGTGCACTGAGAAAAATTATTATAAGCCATATGTGGGAGCATGAATTCTTAAAATAATTAAACAATATGAAGAAATAATCAATAAAATTGTTTATTTTATCGGTGAAGAAAGTGCACAATTTATGTTCGTTAAGTTCACTTCCATCACCGATTCCTCTAGAGTAGGAATCATAATCTTTATAACCATTTTTTATGGAATGATATAAATAAGGTTATCAACAATAGAAACATTATGTTATATCTTTCAAGATCATTAAAATGTTATATTGTTGTTCAAATGAAGAATATATCTTTTTAAAAAAACACTTTTCCCCGAGTGTATGGCTGCTGGAGTAGGCGGAAGCGTCAAATTGTCTACGGCAGCGGCACTCCCAAAAACATTGTTCGATCCCCGGACGACATCGGCACCGACACGTGATTATGCGACCCACTTGAGTCCTGGTACCTTGGACATTGGACCTAGGGCGCTACATAAAACGGATCGACGCAACTGCAGTTGAGGATGAATTATTGGTGTAAGCGAATACCCGGCTCACTTGAGAGGCAACATACCGCAACCGACCTTAGTGTCACCTGATCCCACACGTTCGCACTTAAATTCCTAACTAGATGATGTTGTTCCCAGCACTGACCAATAGTTCTTACTATATCTTCCCATCCCAACCCCCGAAAGTCCTTAGAGTCGTGACATGTGTTTCTGGTTTGCCGGGGTTTCGGTTTCCCGGCGCATCTTTCACGGGGCCGGGCTTGTTACGGCCTATAAATCGCCGATGATCGCTTTTGTATTACGGAATTCCTCCTTTTCTCCGGCAAGGCATGCAATATGTTTTTGTTTGTTTACGCCAGCCGAATCCCTCTTTTTGGACGCAGCCATGGATGCGAAACTATATCAAAATAATATAATTACCCCATTGTAGTTCTTAACGATCCAACGATTGCAGGTATTTCGGCCCATATTAATGGGAATTCCAGATTCGCAAAAATAAAACCCATAATACGAAATCGTTTTCGGTATTTATTTCGTAAGACAAAACTGTGTTTGCACTGATCGGTCGTTTGGGGTATCGTTTGGTATCGGTTCCATTAACGTCTAAAGAAATCCTCGGCTATTTGGGGATGGCTTTTTGTGAATTATCTGGCGGGTGCTAATTAAAAACCTTCTTCGGCCAAGGCAAGGAGCGAGGCGACGGCGGCCATAAAGAGCGGTGGCACGGCTTTGTGGTTTCCAACAACAATTAAAAGCAAATAAATAAACAGATTTGTTCAACGACTAATTGAAGCTCAAATAAATCAAAATCTAACTAATAGTGCGACGGGACCACCCAGAGTGCCCGGGTCCGTGTCCGTGCGTCCGCCGTGCTGAAAAAGTTGAGTTGTAATCGAAGTGTTAATAGGCCAAACGGGTTTCGTTGTCCAAACACCTTCGAAGAGGCCAAAAATCGCCCGAAGGTCCGACTTCACCAGTTTTTTTTTTTATCTTCTTTCTTTTCTTCTGGCATCAGCCCCAGCGACAATCTGACGAAATATTCATCTGAAAGTTGGCCAGATTTGCCGACAGCCTCAAACGGAGAGATGGATATAAGTTGGGGACTGGGGGAACCGGCAGTCGCATAAGGGGAAGTTGAAGTTGGGGACGCAAATCGAGTTGGAGACGAAAGCGGCAGCGAGTTCGCTTCATGCTCGTTGCACTTGAACGCTTCAACGGCATTCTGATTTGTGGCTGCGGCTGCTGTGCGGTGCGGACTGCGAACCGGGATCCCAAGCCGATCCGATCTCATCCGATCCGATCCGGCCCAGGACGTGGCCATAACTCACGTGAGGAGCATCTAACGAGTGCGAGGGATGTGCAAGATGTCCGGACTGTGGTTACTTGCTACTACTTTTTTGGTTAGACAAAGAATTACCGATAGTTTGGACTTTATAAAAAATATAGCATAAGAAAGATAATATTATGCATTATTTACCAAATAATTCATGCGGAAAATAATATTGTTCTGTTAAAACTTATGAGTTATTTCATTGCATACTTTCTGGCGTTCCTGCTTATAGGACTGAATTCAAAGGAAATATATAAGAAATAGATTCTTTTTTAATGGAAAGCTCGTTGAAATGTATATTTTAATGTTTAGAAAACAACGAATCTATACATAATACACTTCTAAGGAAAGTAACTTAGATAGAAACTAACTTTCTGGTTTCCTGCTTATGCATTGGTCTGATTTCGGTTCAAATATGAAAGATATACAATTTTTCCAAATTCAATTTATATTTAAATGTTAAGGAATCAAAGATTCAAGACATAATATAGTTTTGAAGTCACCAATTTTGCGAGTTATATCTTACTTAATAAGTTAAGCCTTAGTCGAGTACCTACCTGCAAGTATCCTATATTAAATCCAACCAGAAAATAACAAAACAAACAACTGAGGAAAGGTGAAAGTTGGTTCTCCCCAAGGGGAACCCCGTGGTAATCAGTTTGACCCCGCTCCACAGCCCTCCCCAAGATCCCGTCTAGAATCAAAGCCCGCCGCCTTCCAGTTTCCAATATGGCGTCGCTGCCGTTTCCGCATCGCCTTGATGCCGCTGAGATGCAGCGCTGATAGACGCGCTTTAAATGCATAAAATTGCCGACTATAAATAACATTTAATGAAACACATTTTTCGATTCCCGATTCTACACGCATCCGCATCCAATCCCCCCCAATCCCATTTGGGGCTTATTTTGTTATTCTGTTTGTTTCGCTCCTATATGGTATACCATATTGTTTTTGGCAAAGGCAAAGGATTGCGGTCGCTGGGAAGAGAAGGCGGAGCGTTTAGCCTGGCATCTTCTATGCTTCTTGAGTTATTATTGTAATTTGGCTGTGGGCAGTCGAGTGGAACGGTTGCAGTTGCAGTTGCAGTTACTCCGAAAGATCCCGACCGAAAGACATAGGGCCCAAGATGGAATCCCGCCAGCGCTCTGGCATTTTGTGTTCATTTAAATTTTTCACAGTCTATGAAATATAATAAGTTTGCGACATGTGCGCCGCTATTTTCTCATCCATAATTAGCCAAACGAACTTTAATTAAAAAACGAGATCTTCCCGTAATGGGGAGTCTATATTTTCGGGATACACCATGGTGGGATGGGGCGGGAATGGGTTACAATGTCTGCAATAGATCACCAGAGTCAGTTCCGTTCGGAACCACCTACGCAGAACCAGAACTGTTGGCCGTTCGAAATGTGTTAACGGTAAACCAGCCCGCGTCCATTTTATGCGTTTCGTTTCGCGCGCACATCCCAAAATTCAAATGGGCCGTATCGGAATAATGGCAAACCAGCGCAACACAACAGAAAAGGAAGACTATGTTTTTCTTCTTCTTTTCCTCCGGTGGGTGTTCAAAGTACAGTGCGTAGTGAAATGTAATACCCATAGTATCGATGGAACATTCGATTCAAATGAGTTTCTATACTCAACTTACTCGCATTTCTGATATTAGAAATTGCTTATAAAGAACTCACATATTTATTTGCCATTATAAAAGTAAGCTTATAGATTCACAATCATAATCATAATCAAAATCCGCCATAAATATACACATGTATTCTTTTTGCTCAATGATTAATTACCAACAAAGTAATAGAAAATAGATTCTGAAATATGAATAATGATGTAATTACGAAACGAAATATTTTTTAAATAACAATATTTCAATTCCAATTATTTGTTACGCACTGCATGAATGCGCCTGTATGGAAAATGCAAGGGAAAATTCATAAAACAGCGGATGTTTTCTTAATTTTTAATGCTTTAGTTTTATTTAAGTGTTTATGGAGAAATAACTAATGAAAAACGCCTTGAATTGCATATTCCGCCGCAGTCGGATATTAATAAACGGGCGGCGTGCATGGGCCTGTGCTTGTGTTAAAGCGCAACATGATTCGCTCGATTTAAAATGCATTTCCATGCCAATGGCAACGCGCCGAGTTGCCGCCCTTTGATTTATAAAACAGGCCGTTTCCTTAGCCGATTCCCCAGTCTCGGCCGCCTATCCCAGATCTTCGCTCCATGCCGCCGCTGTTTGTTTACTTAATGTCAATGCAATTAAGGGAAAATACTTTTGGGCAAATATCTCATCGCCAGCGACCGTGCATTAAAACAAATAAGCAGTCTCGTTACTTTACAGCCAGTTCTCTTATATTTCCACGCTTTAAATGCTCTTGCGAATGTTCAGTTTACACATCAAATCTTAGCTATTCTAACACAAAACAACAAGCCAGGATGTGGGTTGGGGTGTTCCGTGTTGACTAGGTATCTGGGGGCAAAGCTCTGGAAGATGAAGAAGAATTGATTAGACATGGCCATTATTAGTTTTGGTAATTTAAAAAGGAGAGCAAAATTGATAACGAATTATTTCATAGCAAGGATTTCAGTAACTATACATTATTTTTGCTAATAGGAATAGGTTAACAGCTTATCTCAAAATAGGCACAGAAAAAGGAAAGGAATATTTAACATTATATACAAGATATTAATATTTTGTTTGGGATCAATAAAGCCTCATCTCTCTAAGAAGATTGGCCCACACATAGATTATTTCAGAAGTACAGCTATTAAAATAATTGTTTTTATAATATATTAAATATATTGTGATATTTATAATAGAAGTTGATTTAAATTTCCACATTATTATTTTGAAATCTAAAATTGTATTATTTTGTATGCTTTAGGGAATGTTGTTCTATTTAAGTTTCTTTGGTAGTAAGAGCTGATAAATAACTGAAATCACACATCTTTATAACCATAATTAGATCAGAATTTGATAAATTAGGAAACCAGGGAACTTACACAATCAAAACATCGAAATATAAGGCGACTACACTGAATCACGGATCTTGCGCGGGGATAAGTGGCTTAGCTTAGGTATCGGAACTCCGCTTTACTCCTTCTTGGGAACACTCAGATCGTAGAAGAGCTTGCCCATGCCGCCGATTCCGACGAGGGCGAGGGCCACGGTGAGACGGTAGAGCACGTTGTCCACGGCGGATCCCTTCAGGAAAACGGGCTTGCCGTCCTTCTTCTGGAAGTGGTCCTGGACCTTGCGGATCTCGAAGTATCCCTTCTCAATCTGCTCCTTGGGCACGGCGGCGGACCGGCGGCCGGCGGTGGTAGCGAAGCTACGGACAACAGCCTGTGGAGGAGTACGAAATGTGCGGTTAGTTCTGGGGCTCCAGGGAACTTACGTAATTGCATGGAGGTAGTAGGGTCTATGGTGTTATGGAACACGCATTTCTTATCCAGCGATGGGTGATCGTTATTGTAATTTCCCCCAATTTACTTACTCTCGACAGGTTCATCATCTTGCTTGGGTTTATTTTTAAGATTTAGCAAAAGGTGAACAGTTTTCTGGGCGAAAAATATCGGTCTCGAATATGACAGCTACAGCTGGAGGAACATCGATATTATATCGATACATCGATGGTCGACATCTCCAGCACTTTTTGACATTCGCCCGGAAATTATTATTTACTCGAATAAACAGAAATTTAAGCAGCGCAGCTGCATATTTAATAACTAATTTATTATTCCATAGCTTTACAAATCCACAGACGTTGCCATGGGCTTCCTAACAGTATTGAAAAAGATGCGCCAGAAGGAGAAGGAAATGCGCATATTGCTCTTGTAAGTTCTTCCATATTTTAGAACAAAGCTTAGTGATTCATAATTTTCCTTAGGGGTCTGGATAATGCCGGCAAGACCACGATCCTAAAGCGCTTTAATGGCGAGCCCATTGACACCATTTCGCCCACTTTGGGTTTCAACATAAAAACCCTGGAGCACAATGGGTACACCCTGAATATGTGGGACGTGGGTGGCCAGAAGTCCCTGCGATCCTACTGGCGGAACTACTTCGAATGCACCGATGGTCTGGTCTGGGTGGTGGACAGTGCTGACAGGATGCGCCTGGAATCCTGCGGCCAGGAGCTGCAGATCCTGCTACAAGAAGAGCGCCTGGCAGGAGCCACCCTCCTGGTTCTTTGCAACAAACAGGATCTTCCCGGTGCCCTCTCATCAAATGAAATAAAGGAGGTAATCACTTTTGACTTATTAGATTTAACAACATTTTTAATATCCTTCATTCTAAAAGATACTTCATCTGGAGGATATTACCACGCATCATTGGCTGGTGGTCGGAGTTAGCGCGGTGACCGGCGAGAAGCTGCTGAGTTCCATGGACTGGTTGATAGATGACATAGCCAAGCGCATATTCACTTTGGATTAAATAAAACTTATCTTACTTCCTTACTTCTCACACAAGTACATTTTGTATAGTTTCTCCTGTTTTTCGTCGGCAAACGCCGGCTTAAAGTTGACCTTGTGAATGGATTTAAATCCCTCGTCTAGAGCTGGCTCCTGGTACTTTTTCTTCATCATGTTAAAGACCATGTCTTTGATCTTGGAGTGCGTAGAGTCTGATAACTCTCGGAAAGCGATGTTGTGCTTCACTTGAGCCACAGGCACATTCATAACCAGACAGCGGCAGGGAATCTTCATTTCGCTAGCCAGCTCCAGGAATTTTTTGCGGGAGGCCGCGTCCACGTTGGTGTTGTCCACCACACAAGATTGGCCGGCTTCCAAGAAGCGTTTGCAAGCATTCAGGCAGTTTTGAGTGCTTTTCAAGGTATCTGCATTGACGCTCTTGTAGCCACGCGGTTTGAAGAAGTTCGAATAAAAGTGGCTCTTTCCGGATCCCGGCAGACCAACCATGATGATCATTTCACAGGGGTGGTCCTCGAAGGTGAGGTCATCTGGGTCAAGCAGAGCCACCTCGCCCTGCACGCTAGTGGGATCGAAGTCCGGCTTGTTCCACTGCTCCACTCGTTTGCCCAGGAAATGAACCTCAGGCGTGTAGAACGACAGTCCAATGTTGGCGGCGAAGAGTCTGTCTGCGAGTGAGTGATCCTTACGCTGCTTAGTGGCTCCTTTCCCGTCTCCGGTCTTCCAGCTGCATCGCCCACGAAGAAACAGCGATCTTCCTGGATCTCAACACCCTCATTCATTTCAGTCTTCAGGTGCTGCCACATTCCTGTCAGCGGTTTGCGGTAGAATCCATCGCCGATAGCTATGAACACTTGGATTGGAACACCCAGTTTAGCCACAATTTGCTTGACCTTAACCTTGAAGTCATCTAGACTGATTTCCCGCGGGCAATGCCTCCTTGGTTGGTAAAGAAACAGATCTTGAAGCCGTCCTTGTGGAGACTCTTCAGTTTCTCCGGTACTTCGGGGAATATGATCTGCCAGTCGTCAGTATTTTTGGGAAAAACTAGTCCAGACTTCGTTTTGATGATGGTCCCGTCCATATCGTAGCCGGCTATCTTCTCAGAGGCGGTAACGCCAGCGCTGGTGAAGATTACCAGTTTGCCATTGCCAACGGAGTCCCATCTCTCATATTTTTCGGGAACCGATGATGATAGCGACGGGGGAGCAGCTTCCTCCTTACTATCCGTCGGGGGAGGACTGAAAACCACCTCGAAAGGATGCCTGCCATAGACGATCTCCACCAGATCTCCGTGCTTCAGTTCACATTCCGAGTGCTGCATCACCATCAGACCATTTACGCCGCAGGGATTAACTCCCAGGACCTTGAGCGCTACCACGGCCTTCTTCAAATCAACTTGCAGTTGGATTTGTCGCTTGGAGCACTTGGAGTCCCGGATTCCAGTTTCCCGGCTGCGTCCCACGAAGTTATCGCCAGCGGTTAGGTGGATTGCATGGTGCTCCGGTTCCGTCGGTTTCAGGGTGCAGATCCTCGCGGCCACCTCCTTGCCAGCTTTTCCCACGGAGCGATTTAGATATTTAGCCATGGACATCTTGCAGTTTCCAATTGAAAGCATTGTTTGGGTTTGCCAAATTTATGGAAATTGCGCGTTATAGTGTGACCTTACGGGCATTCAAAAAATGAAGTACTTGTCATTCCCCAGAACATATCATAAATACTTTAAAAAATACAATTTGAACCTCCAAATTTACTTCCTTAAAGTATTGTTGTTTAATATTTGAAAAACCAACATTTAAGATTAATATATTCTATTTGAGGTATTCTTTAAGAGATCTGGGCAAAACCACGATGCTATAAAGAGTTTTTAAAGAGTACCTATCCTACTCCAAGCGTATGTAAATATAATTATATGTTCTCTTTGGTTTAAGTACTACTTTTCGTCGGCAAACTTCGGCTTAAAGTTCACCTTGTGAATGGATTTGAATCCCTCGTCTAGGGTTGGCTCCTGGTAGTCTTCCTGCAACATTTTAAGACATGCTCTGACCCTGGAGTCCAGAGTATAGCACTCGGAAAGCTAGGTTGTGCTTCACTTGAGCCTCAGGCACATTCATCACAAGACAGCGACATGGAATCTTCATTTCGACAGCCACCTGCATAATTTTCGGCGGGATGCCACATCTATATTGGTGCTGTCCACCACGCAAGATTGTCCCGCCTGTAGGAACCCTTTCAAAGCAATTAGAGAGCTTCGAGTGTTTGATTGACAATCTTGTAGCCCCGCTTTTGGAAAAAGGTGCCACACAAGTGACTTTTACCTGAACCAGGCAATCCCACCATGATGACCATTTCACAGGGTGGTCTTCGAATGTCAGGTCATCAGGGTCAAACAAAGCCATCTCATCCTGGATGCTAGTTGGGTCGAAATCCGGCTTGTTCCAGTGCTCCACTGGTTCGTTTAGGAAATGAACCTCTGGAGTGTAGAATGTGAGTCCAATGTTCGCCGCGAATAGTCTGTCTGCAAGGGAGTGATCCTCCCGCCGCTTGGTGCCTCCCTTAAGCATTTCCGGTCTTCCGCCGCATCGCCCACAAAGAAACAGAGATCTTTCTGAATCCTAACACCTGCATTCATTTTGGTTTTCAGATACTGCCACATTCCTGTCAACGGTTTGCGGTAGAATCCGTCGCCTATGGCTATGAACACTTGGATGGGAACCCCTAGTTCAGTCACGATGTGCTCGATCTTCACTTTAAAGTCATCTAGCTCTATTTCCCCGCGAGCTATGCCACGCTGATTGGTAAAGAAACAAATCTTAAACCCATTCCTATGGAGATTTTTCAGTTTCTCCGGCACTTCAGGGAATATTATCTGCCAGTCATAGGTATCTTCGGGGAAATCCCATCCAGATTCGTTTTTATGATGGTGCCGTCCATATCGTAGCCGGCTATCTTCTCAGAGGCCGTCACCCCAGCGCTGGTGAAGATTGCAAGCTTGCCATTGGCAGCAGAGTGCCATCTATCAGAATATTCTGGAACCGATGATGATGTGGTGAGGAAGTGCCTTGTTCCTCATCATCCGATGGTGAATGACTAAAGACCACCTCGAAAGGATGCCTGCCGTCGACTGTCTTCTCCAGATCCTTGCTATCCTTTTCCACGGACCTCTTCAGGTATTAGCCATGGACATCTTGCAAGGTTTAATTAAATAACATTGCTGTGATTTTGGCGATTTATGCAAATTGGTGTAAAGTGTTGTGCCTCCTAATTTGGCAATCAGTTCAAGAAGAAAACTGTCATTCTCACAAAATATAATACCGTTGTGAATGGAGAGGCGGTTTTCAAAAATTTAAATATTAGGAGTTAAAAAATAGGCATCAAAGAAGGCTTGTTATACAACGTTAAACTAGATTCTATCATTTGATATCCTCCTTTCAAAGACAAACAAAATTTTCCACAAACAGTTACTAAAAAGAAACACCAGTCTAAATGCAGAGAAACTGTTTCTCTTTGCGCGTAAGTACCTTTTCCCTAAATAACAATAAATTTACTTATATTCTTTGAATAGCCCTTCCTTCGGGGAGCTGGTGAATTGGGCGTATTTGGAACACCCATCCGTCTATTTCGAAATTCAGCTGCTTTGAAATCTGCCGCTGCAGCTCCCAAGACAGTTCCTGGAAAACTTCCCCCGAAAATGGCCAAGCTGCGGAAGAGTTCCAGGCGGACAATGATTTGCCGATTTTCCTTAAAGGCGGCAGTATGGACAACATCTTGTACAGGCTAACCTGGGTGCTCAGTATCCTCGGAATAGCCGGCGATGTATGGCTGTGGGCTGGCTATATCATTGCCTAAAATGCCAATAACACTCCAATATATAACTATTTTAATGTTCTGCACACCTAACACTGTTATTTAAATGTTTCGTTTCTGTACATAATTAAACGGCGAATCAATGGAACATGAGAAATAATTAGAATGTGTAATACTTTTAAGTGGTAATGGGTGGTGTTTAAACGTTAAATGGAAATTCAAACTACCCGCCCTTTCCAAGCCATTCTCATGTCGGCGAAAACATGCCCAAAATTAGGTTATTTTTTAAATTAAATCATAGAGCAGCTGGTAATACTACTTGCACAACTTGCAATTTTGTCGGCATTTTCTTTATTGCATTTTTCTCACCTTTAAAAGGTAAGTAAGCACGAAATAAAATTTTAACTATGATTACCAGATAAAACTGGATTGCCCGAAGGGGTTTCGTGTTTTCTGCCATGACTAACCTCTTAGTTTTTGAAACATCCACATATTTTCGTGTGATCTGAAAGTTCCTCACGTTTTGGGGCTTCTTTTTAGCCACAGTTTTGTTTTCTATATTCTTTTGGCAAAACCCCGCTTAACTGCCACATCTGCAGATTCGTGGACTGGCCAAAGATAAAATTGCATCCATCATCAAGTTTTCATATGCTTCCCAAACTGCTTGGCTTTCTTCCAAATTAAAGTAGCCTTTTCGCTTTTTCCAGTTGAGCGACAAGTAATGTAAAGTCTCCATTAGGAAAGTTTTGAAAATTCCCAGTAATGTTTTGGCTCAGAGGGCTACAGAGATCCCGGCAGCAACTGAACAGGCTCTGCCAGTTCCGTAGTCGTCTAAATTACGGGAGTACTCCCAGAATCCGCTCAGTCCAACCGCCAATCTCCGTCGCCAGAAGTTCGGGATTTTGTAGCTCCCTCGTTCGTTACAGGTACTTCACAGGGTTTATCTTATCACCAGATATCTAATATAGCCGGTTATCTTGGTATCTTTCCAGCTGCAGCGCCAATCTTCCCCAACCCGCTGAGATGGCCAGTAAAACCGCCCACTTTGTCCTGCCCAACACGCAGCCCATCGCCGATCTGGACTGCAAGAGTGCCTTCGAGAATCTCACCGAGAAGGAGAAGCTCTATGCCCACCACTTCAGCCAGGCCTCTTGGGATGGGGACTCATCGCCCTGATCCAGTCCAGTCCAGAGGCGCCGCTCATCTTCTCCTGCTGCACCGCATCTTCCTGGCTGAGAAAATTCCCGTGCTGAGGGAAAAGGCCCTGAAGGCGGGAGTGTCCGAGGATGAGTTTACGGTAAGGAAGAGATTGTCCAGTTGATCTATTATAAGCCTCAAAGAAAGAGATATACCAATATCCATATCTATAAGTTAAGTATTAGTAACCATTATTTTATGGCTTCTCCCAACCTTATTTTTAGGGCTTCCTGGTCTACGCCTGCGGAGTGTTCGCCAACGCGGGCAACTACAAAGGTATGGGCGACAGCAAGATCGTGCCCAATCTGTCCGAGTCGCAGTTCGAGGCCATCGTGAAGTCCTCCGCTGCCTACGCCGATGAGCCGCGCGTGGAAAGATCTTCGACAAGGTCAAGGATCTGATCTACGCTCTCGAGTCCCGCAACGAGATCCTGGGCTTTGCCCCCGATGGAGTCACCACCTACTGGTCGGACAACTGCACCAAGAGGACTCAGAGATCGTCAACTCCTGGCTGACGTCTAAACGCATCGAACCCTACATGTGCCGCACCTTCAAGGTGGTCGAAAATGGTCAAACCGTCTACGATGTGAAGCTGGCTCCGTGCGGAGTCGTCGCAGGACGGTATTACACTTCCTCTGGAAGAGTACAAGGGCAACCAGTTCCGGGTGACCCGCGGCGACTATCACAAGCTGCTGCAGCGCGTAACCAGCATCTGCTGGAGCCAAAAGTACGCGGCCAACGAAAACGAGTCCAAGATGATCGAGCACTACATCCGATCCTTTGAGCAGGGCTCGCTGGCCGAGCACAAGAACGGATCACGTTGGTGGATCAAGGACAAGGTCCAGTCATTGAGACCTACATTGGCTTCATTGAAACTTACAGGGATCCCGCCGGAGGCCGGGCTGAGTTCGAGGGCTTCGTGGCTATGGTGAACAAGGAAGCTCGGCCAAGTTCTCCGAGCTGGTAAATCGCGCTGAGAAGTGATTGAGTACCTGCCCTGGACGGAACCTTACGAGAAGGACTCCTACCTTAAGCCAGACTTCACCTCCCTGGATGTGCTACTTTCGCGGGCAGCGGAGTGCCAGCGGGCATCAATATCCCGAACTACGATGAAATCCGACAGGATGAGGGCTTTAAGAAGTCTCGCTGGGCAACGTACTGGCCAACATTAACCGCAAGGATCCCATTCCCTTCCTCTCCGAGGAGGATCAACCCTGATGAAGGAGTACAAGGTGAAGGCTTTCGAGGTGCAGGTCGGTCTCCATGAACTCTCGGTCATGGCAGTGGCAAGCTGTTCCGCATCGACGAGAATGGTGTTTACAACTTCGACAAGGAGAACACCAAGAACCTGGTGACCGGCGAACCCATCGCCAAGTGGTATCTTCCCGGAGAAACCTATGACACCAAGTTCGGCGCCATTGGTTCCTCGTACGAGGAATGCCGCGCCGAGGCCGTGGGCTTGTATCTCTCCCTGCAGCGTGATATTCTGGAGATCTTCGGCTTCAAGGACAAGGCGGAGCAGGACAACATTATTATATCAACTGGCTGAGTCTCATCTGGAACGGCATGGGCGTGGCTCTGGAAATGTTCAACCCGAAGTCCAAGCTCTGGCTGCAGGCCCACTCCCGCGCCCGCTTCGTGATCATGAAGGTCTTGCTGGAGGCAGGCGAGGGCCTGGTTAAGGTCGAGGAAACGGAGGATGGCAAGAACCTTCTGCTGACGGTGGACCGCAGCAAGATCGATACCGTGGGCAGGAAGGCGCTGGGTGATTTCCTGACCAAGTTGCAGGTGTACAAATCGACGGCCGACATTGAGGCGGCCTCCAAGATGTACGAACACTACTCGGAGGTGAACGAGAGCGGCTCGCATCCGTGGGCCAAGTGGCGGGACATCTGCCTGGCGCACAAGAAGCCGCGCATGATCCTCGTCCAGGCCAACACGTTGATCGGCAAGGACAAGAAGGTCCAGCTGAAGACCTACGAGCCCAGCCACGAGGGCTACATCCAGTCGTGGGTGGAGCGCTATCCCACCACCGACATCGACGACCTGCTGGAGACCATCGTGGAGAAGGACAAGAAGTACTTCCCGGCTGCCTTCAGCAACTGAGAACATTTCGCATTTAACATTTTCGCCTTTATTTTGAATACAATATGTTAGCTATGATTTGGAGAAAATTTATAGTGGTCATCTAATGACAAATATTAAATTTTAACTTAATGTCTTATTTTTTATATGAAGGGTCTAAAGGGGATATTTTTAAAGGTTCTTAACGTACTTTCCATTTCATAACGTTTCTAGTGAATGGTAAAAAGATCGCTATTGCCATTCTCAGAGGACATTTACAAGGACCTGTTTGAAGCTATTTATAATATATTCGTGATTAAAATTATATTTGAGTTTTAATAAATTCACGTTAAAGCTATTAAAGACCCTGGAAGCTTTGAAGATATAATATCAACATGGAGATTGTAAATATAACTAAATATTTAGTTCTGAAAAGCCAGTCAAAACAATTGTGATGTTTATATTATTTTATTTCTTGGTTCCTTTCGATTTCTTGTATTTCTGTTTGGACCGTCATAACTACCATGGCAACCGCCAGGAATCGTGGTAACCAGAAGGACTCCGGAATTTTCAACATCGGCGAACCGCAGTTCAAGGTGCCGCAGACCGTGCGCGTGGAGCACGACTTCTACAGCTCCCGGCTGTTCCAGATGATGCAGCACGACCTGGAGAAGGTGAACCGCAGTCTGGAGCTCTCCAAGGAGAATCCCATGACCCGGGATTTCATTGAAAGGAAGCGATGACGCAGGAAATGAAGGCCATCAAGCACGCGGAGTTTGTGGAGAAGAAACGTCGCCAGCAATTACGGCGGGATTGCGAGGAGCTGCGGGATTTGGCAGAGCAACTGCGTCTGGCTGCCATCTCAAAGGAGCTGGCCGAGAATCTGGAGGAGAGAACCGGCAGCGCCAAATGTCCGTGAAAATGGAGGCCCGGGAAATGGCGGAGGAGCGCTGTCTAATGGAGGCAAAGGAACGCGAGAAAGAGGCCGCTTTAAGGAGGAACAGCGCCGTCTGAGAGAGTCCTTGGCAGAACAAATGGAGGAGCACCGCCGGCGTCGTCAGCAGGAGCACGCCAGGTGATGAACGACCGGGAGCTCAGTCTCCTGAGGCAGAAGCAAATACAGGAGGAAGATCGCGCCCAGCAGCTGGAGGCGGAGCGAAAGAAGCTGCAGAAGCGGCAAGACATGCTGCAGTCCATCAAGGAAACCAGGAGCACAGGGAATGGCAGCGGGCCCAAAACAGCTACGAGTTGGGCGATCTCGTCAAGAAGCAGACTGAAATTGATCGCAGAAAACGCGAACTGGAGGAGGAACGCCAGGAGATGCAGCGCAAAAGCAGGAGATCAGCATACGCCTGGCCAGCAAGTCCTGGAAATGGAGGTGAGTCGTACAACTCTTAGGTCTCATTCCCTAATCATCGTCTAAATATCTCTGCAGAACAAGAAACGCCAACGCGACAACCTATTGTTGGATCTACTGGAGGCGGATACACGGCCAAGAGTGACGAGCGCTTCCGCCAGCAGATGCAGCAGGAGCAGATGTCGCGCCGGCGCACCAGAGAGGAGCTGGACCGCTATCGCCAGGAGGTGGAGCTGCGCAAGATGGCCCAGATGCAGCTAAAACGAGCGGAGATGGCACGCGGCAGCAGGAGGCACCGGATATGAGCAACCAGGATACGGAGAAGCAGCTGGAGGACTACCGTAAACGCAGGACCACGGAGCCACCTTGCTGGCCATGATCGAGGACAACCAGCGGAAGCGGGCGGAGGCCACCGCTGAAAGTGTGCAATACTTCGACGCAAAGGCCAAAGCTGATGCTGAGCAGCAGGAGCGTATTAAGCAGGAGCGTCTGGCCATGCTGGGCCAGGTTCCCGCCTCCGTGCTCCGGTATCTGCCCAAACATGTTCTCACCTCTACGGATCGCGAGCATTTCTGTCGGAAGAGCAGCAGGCAATGGGCGGTGGCGATTCCTAGACTTATTTAGAAAATGGTAATTCAAGATGGTCATGTTTATTATTAATGCGGACTGCCTTGGCTTCCCAAAATATACAATTTCAAAAGGCGCGCCATTCTGCGTACGTGACGTGTCTCATTTAGGCAGTCAGTGTTGCCAGACTGCTTAAAAGGGTTATCGATAATGGCTCATATTTTCGTTTTATGTAAAAAAAAATACTAAGAAAAAGTAAGGCTGTTGCAGTTGAGTGGTTCTGTTAAATTTAACATTTGAATAACTTTTGTGTGGTTAACCGATAACTGGACTCTAAATTTACAATGCATATTTGACAGTGAGCCCGCACTTGAGTGGAAATTTACAAAGAAAACGTGACAGTATGCAGAAACAGAAGGGAAATTGTTAACAGTGCGTAAGAACTTGAGTGAGATTAAAGCGTTAGTCCATGTTAGATTTTAGTATGTGCAGAAAAACAAATCTGGTATTAAAGTATTTTTCCGCCTAATTTATCGATAACTCACCGCGGTCACACTGAGTGCTGACGCTGATTTTTTTTACTTTTAACGAAAATAGCGGGAGTGATCTTGCGTACAAACAATAACACGGAATCGAGTGAAAGGGCGTTGCACAAATGACAGTGTTTTGGCAGAATGCCCGGGCAAGTTTCGACTACGTTTAGCAGTGTCTAGAAAGCCAAGTGCGCGACGCTAAGGCAAGCAAATCGCGACGCGAAAACAAAACGAGGAAATAGAAGAGTGAGAAAAAAAAAACGTCCAAACGCAGACAGCGAACTTTGGACACAGACAATCGCAAACACAAAGAAAAACCGAGGAAATGTCAGCGCAGCGTCTGAATGCCGCGGAGCGGGACCTGGAGAAGTTCATCAAGTTCCTGGTCCTGAAGTCCACCCAGGTGGTGGTGCAGTCCCGACTGGGCGAGAAGATGCAGACGCAGTGCAACCCACTGGCGGGCAGCGACTGGTTCAACATTGCCGTGCAGGACCATCCGGAGGTCCTGGATGAGACCAAGCGGGCCCTGAACCTCAAGACCGGGGAGAGCATCCTGCAGCGTTTGCCGCTGTGCGTGGAAATCTCTCTGAAAACCGCCGAGGGCGACCAGATGGTCCTGGAGGTGTGGTCCCTGGACCTCATTCCACCCCAGAACGGCTCCTCCCCGGCCACTAACGATCTAAACCCCGAGGGCCAGACCCTGAAGGCAGCCCACGCTATCTACAATCGCATGGGCATTATGCTCAAGTCCCTCATCTCCCTGACCCGCACTACGCCCGCCTACAAGCTGTCCCGTCGCCAATGTCCCGACTCGTACGGCATCTTCTACAGGATCTACGTGGACAGGCCACAGGTTCACACTCTGGGCGAGGGCCACAAGCACGTGAAGATCGGCCAGCTGAGCACCATTGTGGGCTCGCTGGTCATGTCCGTGGCCTACCGCACCAAGTTGACCATCTCGCCTACGGCCGCGCAGGCCGAGAGCAACACCATTATGCTGAAATCAGATCACTTTAGGCCCGCCACGGATAACGGTTCGCCAGGTAACCAGCAGCAGCTCCTAAATGGCACTGCTGTGGCCAAGAAACTCGGTTTGGGTGGCCTCAATCCCAACCAGGGGTCAGGAGATCGACGCTATATTGACATAGAGAAGCCCCTGCGTCCCGGAGCCTTCGCAGATATGGGCAAGCTAAAGCAGTACACAGAAGATGACTTCGTGCTGCCGGAAACGCCACCCTTCGAATGGCTTTTACGGGGACGCGGCTCTGTGGAGTCCCTCAACCGCCTGGATAACAACACAGCCCCCAGTGTGCTCAGCAGCAACAACAACAATAACCCACAGGACAGTAAATTCAACCCGATCAGCAATCTCAACAATAACTCCACGGGTTTCAAGAGCTTCGAGAAGAACACGGGCAACTCGGTGTCACCCATTAAGAGCCTGCTGATCCCGGCCAGCGTTACAGCTACGTATCGCCACCATTCGGAACCGGCGCTACAACCACCGCCCGATGATGATAATCTGCTCAAGGAGCTGCACTTTCCCTTCGCCTCGCCCACCTCCCATGTCAACGATCTGGCCAAGTTCTACAGGGAATGCTATCATGCGCCGCCGCTCAAGGGTCTCAACGAACTGCAGGCAGAGATCTCTTCGATTTCCTCGACCCCACCCGCCTCCAGTGGATCCGGCGGAGGAGTAGCTTGTGGTCCAACGGCAGCAGCCACTGCGATTGCCACCAGTGCCGCCGATGCTAGCGCCATGGATGATCTGTCCAGGCAGCTGGAGCAGTTCGAGACCTCGCTGGAGGACTACGACAAGCTGGTCTCGCAGTTCGGACTCACGGGCTCCTCGTCGACGGGCAGCCGCAGCAGTGGTGGCCTCCAAATGAGCAACTGAGTGGAATTGTACCCCTAGAAGTGTCATTAGTTAGTTCTTATTTATAAAGGGGGCGGTCATCATGCAGAGATGTAAGGATAAACTGAAAAATCAAGGAATATTTTAGGAGAACAGCTTTGGAAAGTAAAGGTCTAAGGTTCAATTTGTTTTGTAAGGTTTATAATGCAAAGTGTTTTAAAAGTGGGTCAGGAAAGTAGACCATGCTAGGGAATATTCTTTTTTTTAAATACTTGGATCAAAGTATGAGGGTTAAACTGACAGAATATTTTTATTTTTTCTAGCACAACCCACTTTCTTATCAGCTAAGAAATCCTTCATAATAACCAGTAGTTTTTCACGCAACTTTTCAAGATAAAATCGGATTTTAGACCTATAGTTTTCCTTGAGCTGTTGCTTGGAATTGTCCAAAGATTGTCAACTAAAAATTGGACGCGCCCCACTATTTATATATGCCATTGTGTTAAGTTGAGTTGATAGGCTGCTATTTGATATTACCCTCTATGTAAATAGTATATATAGGCTTTTGTAGGCTCTAGGTCCGTCTAATTTGTACATAGGAGTAGAGAGCTCATGTCACGTTTCAAAGTTTCCGATGCAGCAGTTTAGACCCTAGACACAGATACATAAATAAGGGCCACATGCATATAGCTTGTGCATATGGTAGTAAGTTGGGCGTACTCGTCGCTTGTTTGTTTGTTTGTTTCTTTGTTCAAGTGCCTTTCGCCTGCTTGTAAGTGAGAAAATCGTGTATGTACATAAATAACTATAGATAACAGCAATTAATCAGAAAGCCAAAAGGTTTATTTTCGTTGTAGGTAAGCAAAAAGCCAGATGGCCGATTTAAAAAACGAACTGTTCGATCTATGCAAATGCATAACCACTAATCGAAAAAGCGAAACTAATCGAAAGACTTGAAGCATAACGAAATATATCTATCCTAACTTATTGGTACTGTCAGGAAGTTGAAAAGAACAGCTAGTGTTTTCTTTTATCTTTAATCGTTGGTCGCTGTTGCTTATTTATTTGGTTTTGAAATTGCAAAATTTGCCTACATATGAGAATAGAAATTCGAGTATACATAAAAAATACACTAAACAATAGAGTGATAAGAAAATTTATACATATAAACAATGAATAAAAGCAATTGTTAATCAAGACACTAATCAAAATGTTTACTTCTGTCTAAAGAGGCGTGTCACTTGTTGATTGCTCATATAGTATGGTGGTTGCCCTATAGTTACCCTTGCCAAGAGAGGTATATGTTGGATCTTTCTCTATATCCAGACCACTCCGGATCGCACCTCCTGAGAGGCCCGAGGTCATGTGACTTACCTATACGAGAAACCAGATAAACAGTGTTTATTAAACACTCCCCCCAAAGGGTTTTTCCACCGCTTTAAACCGGTTACCGTTTGTTTTCATTTTGCATACTTACTTTATCGCGCTGCCTGGTATTCTATCACTCAATCGGGTATTGTATAATATACGTCAGAGTCGGAGTGTTGCGATACACCTGACTAACTGGCAGTTTGTTGTGGTCGTCGTTATCAATTAACATGTGATTAGTATTCTCGATCTCCCCACAGCTGTCGACTCTCCCAGAGATGTGTATAGTATATCTCTTTGGGGTAATCTATGGTACCATGTACTTGCGCACTCCGGGGAGATTGCAATTTTTCGCATTTCAGCTGCCATTCCATTGCGAATTAACGTCACTATGGCAACGGCAACGACATCGTAGAGGCTAAATAGTTTTATTTTTAACTAAGCACATATACGAACCCATTCGCTTACTACTTTTTGTTTTTCTCGCCGATCCGCAGGCTATCTGGTGTTTTGCTTTGTGCCCGATTCTTTCTTTCGAGTGCTAATGACATTGTCATAGTGCAAAACACATGGACAGCTGTACACGCTTTTGGTTGCCTTCACGTGAGTGGGTGGGCTGAGGAGTATCTGGGGTTGCTTGGGGTTTCCGAATATCAACTGTATATTGCTCAATACACGTAATCAAATGGTCATACGTCAAATAAACCAGATATGTACATTTATTCTAGGTAAATAATGCTGCAAGTTCTTACTTCTCGTTTACGTCATATTTCTTTCTGACTTATTTCCAGTAATAAAAACAAGTGTCTTAACAATTCGCTTTAAGCCCTTATTCCTATTTATTGTTTAATGTTATTGAGAGACTTTCAGATTTTCAATGCCAAACTTAGTTATTAAGTGATTGGCTAAGGCCAATTAATCTTATAAGTTTACTTTAATTTCAATTCACTAGAATGTTAAAACAGCAAAAAACTTTTACTAGATTTCAAATATGAACTTTATATTATATGTATATTCTGTAAAACTATAGAAATTTAAATAATTTTTAGATAATAACAGAAATATTTCTGCTTAGCAACAGCTTGGAATGTGCTTGACCAAATTTCCGAAAATATTAAATTCAACATAGTTTCGAGAGGACATGGAATCTTATAAATATTTGGTAGCAGAATATGTCAAGAATAGAATTGGTCCACTTAGTAACACTATCAAAAAGCTCTCAGTTTTATAGATCCCCGTAGATTGTGGTAGAACTACTTGTATGGCTGCTGCCAAAAATAGAATCTAGACAGCAAAGAGTCTAGACTAAGGGCTGTTCTATGTAAGTATGAGAATGCCCCGGTAATGAACTTTGTAATAGGTCCGAAAGATACAACTTAACGATCGCACCTTGGCGACAACAGGTCGCCGGCACTGCATTTGTGTGGGGACCCCACTCGAAAACACAAATGCACACAGATTTTGTGTTGGCTTTCGGTTTTAATTGTCCAACATATTCGCCGTCCGCCTTTGTTTGAAGTTCGCTGTTGCCAAGCGCCAAATTGGTGACGCGTTGCCAACAAATGAATGTATTTATTTGCCTTTTGGCTTCGGCCTGCATATGAAATGCAAACTTTGGCAGGCGGGAAAATTGCTTTCGAACGTCTCGTTTTTTACTCTTTTTTCCTGTGCCGGTGCCAACGCTCCAAATACGCTGCCCACGGGAACCGGATTGTAGTCTTTCCCCCGGATTTTCCCCCTTTTCCGGCGCCCACGCACATCCAATTGAATTATTTACAGTCTGGCCTCGGAAAAACGGTGCTCTTTAAGAATATGAACTTTGTTAAGTTGTCAAAACAATTATTTGAGACTACGCAATTCTGATTCAAGGCATAGAAAATTATGCAGAATCCTTGAAAACCATTCTGAAAACTTATAAATAACAATATTATTCAAATGTCTGATGGTTTTTTATCATGGTCTTGATAAAGCAAGTATAATATTTATGTGCCATATAAAGTTTATATCTAGTAAAATAAATATTTTTTCAAAAGAAGTACTTTAATACAGTATTAATTAAAGTTACTAAAAATGTTTATGTCTTCCTTAAGTGTTTCAGGTTATGGAGGTCAGACTGTATCTTCTTGGGGCAGCGGAATTTTTTGATTGTATTCACGTGCCGAGGTAAACCGTTTCAGTTCAAGTAAAATCCCCCGTAAGGTGGATTTCTGTTTTTTGTTTCGAAATTTCTTGATAAGCTCGCTCGGGCAATAACGATAAACAACAAATGGCGATAAGACAGGGCCTAAATGCAATGCGGACGCGGTCAGCGCTATAATTGCGTTTTTATGCAATGCGACCGCATATTTGGAATTTTTATGTCAAGCGAGCCAGCCTCGACGCCCAGAAATCGACAAAAAGATGAATGAACGAGCTTGGAAGCTCAGGTTATGAGCTTTTCATGCAGCTGCAATGGGTTTCGAGCTCCAAGAGAAACCACGTTTTACAGGGGCGTGGTCATAGTGCTCAAAACCCCTTCCAAGTTTCCTTTACGGATAATATGTATACCTTGTTGGCACAATAATAAACTCGGAAAATATTGAAATCTTGTTTTTCGATCGGTTGATAACAATTAATTCTGTAATAAAGATTACAGATTTATAGATATGTACATGCATACATACATATGTATGCGATTACAAACCTCTTATAAAATCCTTTGTTGCTATGAGTTTCTAAGCATTATTATAATACTTTTTAAAAGACTTGTTGTCATCCAGAGATCATAATGATAATTATTTAGTAGTACTTATGATAAAGAAAGTGTTTTAAAGAGATTATTGCCCTATTATCAATACAGACTTTATATTTAAATTAAAGATTTATTAGCTCAACAACCCCCTCGTAAGAAAACCAACTGGCACCTCTGCAAGCACCAGTACTAGTTGTCCATCTGGTTTGCCGGCTTTGGAATCCAGCTGCAATAATACAGAGCATAATTGAATTTATTTTTAGACACCCACTGCAACTGCATCTGCATCCGCTTGTAGTTTTCCACATTCCGCACCGATTTCCATATGTCTTAACATTAACATGTTGCTCATACGCCCGAGTCACACTTCGAGGGCCTGTGGACGGGGGCTTGCCTTGCCTTGGCGAATTTTTGGTAAACAACAGCATAAAATCATGCGTAAAAAACTTACAGCTGGGCGTTGCTACGTGCCGAAAGTCTCGCAGGTCCCCGGTTTCCAGGTTCCAATGCGACCAGCCCACAGCCCACTACCTTTCCACCACAGTTTTCCAACCATGTGACAATGGCACCGACAGAAAAAATGTACATACATATATGATTTTATGATCTATTGATAATTTTATTTTTCACTTCCTAAACAGATTCTTAGACTTAGTTTTTATATTAAAACGATTATTAAATTAATAATATATCATATAAAAATAGAGTTATTAGCTGTTGGTTTTTATTAGCTATTCCATCTTATATATTCCAGAATTTAGAATTATTTTTTGCTTAAAATTATTCCCGTAACAAATTGCTATAATTAATAAATAAAATATTTGCTTTGATATGGGGCTGCTTGTTTCCCAGTGTTTGGTGTGGATGGTATTGTAGTGATATGACGAGTGGGTTCCATGTTGTTCTTATGGCGGTTGTTTGTCCCGTCTCGTTCGCACACCCTGCGGCCTTGCGACCGGCCACCTTGTTTGTTTTTGTTATGTTGGAAAAAAACTCATTTAATAATAATAAATAAAGGCGACTGACAAAAGAGTGAGATTGATAAACAAAGAGCGCTGATCGATTCGCCTGGCAACCTGTTTTAACGGGACAACGCTCCATAAAACCGAGCGATACGAATAAAGCAAAATCCGAAACTGCAGCTGGAGGTTTTATCTCTTTTCACATTGCGGAAGTCGGCGAGGGGTGTTACGAAAATATGACCCTCACACCCACAAAGCGGAAGTTTGGCGCAAACAGTCATTCGGAGAAACAATTAAAACAAACAAATGTTGCATTTCCATTCACAGCGGTGGATACACTTAAAATAAAAATATTAATTGTTTCAAGAACTAGAAACTAACTTAGAATACTTACTTTCTGATCGAATTCCCATACCTTCAAGTTAACTAAACAGTAAATCATATTAAGATCAGCAAGGTACTTCGCATTTTATAAAATAAAATCAAAAATAATTTTTATTTCTCATTTCACAATGACATTTAAAAATAGTTTTGACAGATAAAAATAATGTTATTCTTAGCAATACTAGATTTGATAGTTTCTTATCTCCAATACCTATAAACCATTAATAATAAAATGATTAAGTGCCCGCATTTCCTAGGCACATTTATATTTTTATTTTCCCAACCGCATTGAAACATTGCAAGAAAATCAATCCATTTCAATGTCAAAGGGGTTTCCTGCTACTTGCTTGCCGTTTAAATTAACATGCGAGCAGAGCTTGTTTATAAACAAATAGTACGTGTACCTATAGCATGTATAAGGCGGTTTTACTGATAAGACGGCGTTACGAAACTGTTTCTACTAAGAACAGCAGTTGGCCAGCAGCTGATAAGATGGTGACAAAGAAGCAAGAATCTACAAAGTGATAAGCCTGGCGCCAAGATCGTAAAATTCTTTAACCAATGTTTTTCGGTAACTTAAACTAATTGCATAGTGTGGAGCAGATAATCACTTTTGAATTGGCGCCCAAAGGTGGGCTATCGATTGATTTTACAGGGCTACCTAAACAAAACTGATAGCATAATCGATAGGCAGGTAGCCGTGGTATTTTTTAGTGTCAAAATAAGTTGGTTTTTCTTCTTCCACGGAAGCTGTTAATTAAATGAAGTTAAATTAATTGCCCCCGGCAGTGGCTTTAATTAAAAAGGGTGCTCAGAAGGTAAACCAGCCTTGTTGTGAAAAGAAATGTATAAAATTTAAATTTGCAAGTGAAATGGGTGAGATTCCCGAGTTTCGCCTATTTTGGCAAGACCTGTTGTTGTTTTTGTGCTGCGATAGTGATGCGCAGTTCTTCTGCTCGGCTGGAAATCAACCGGATCTGGCTAGAAACCCGCCCAAGTGACACTCCCGAAAGCCAGAAGAAACAGATTGATCATTTTCTATATGTTTTTGCAGTGTTTCGCTCGCCGTGATCTGAAAAAGTCGTAGACCAGGTGCAACAGGTGCCAGTCGCAAGTGAAAGCCAGTTGAAAAAGAAAAGAAAACCCCCACAGAATGCCGCCCGTGCAGTAAGCAGAATGTTCCGCCCCACTTTCCCAACGTCCTTGGCTTAAAAACGCCCACTTATTGCATCATTTGGCAGTCCAAAAATCATCCTACCCATTCGCCTAAATTCGCATTTTGCTAATCACTCGAAGAAGTAACTATTCAAGTCAAGCAATGTCGATCATTCATGCCCTCATCCAGTCTTAACCCTCTGCAAGCCATGCGGGCGCTTTGGACCCCTGTGGAATGCAATTTTCCTGCCAGATGTTTACTCCATCGATGACGTCATGGCCACATTCAAATTTATTTTTAAACGCCGCCACTCGAGTGCGCGTGTGTGTGTGTGTATTGTTTACCATTTGTTTGTCTGTGTTTGTTGATGATGAGTGGGTTGCCTTTGTGTTGGCGGCAAATCCAAAGCGAATTCGATGTTGGAGCATTTCTAACCCCTTTTTGGGGGCCAAAGAATGTTCATTGATTAGTTCAGTGACGGGAGATATGAACCCGACTAAAAAATCTTTTTCCTTACCTACACTAAATTAAATTGTTTGTTTGCGTCTAATGCTTATGAGTTTTAGTTTTGAAAAGATATTACTCATAACTTATGCTAATATTTGATTATCATTAATAAAGCTTCAAAAATGGAATTGATCCTGATTATTTTTATAATATATTTTCTATAATAAGAACTTGAAATATTACGTTTTTTATTTAAAACTAAAATTCCATCATAAAACAACATAGAAGTAATTGATCCTGATTATTTCTTAATAGCTATAAAGTGTTGTATGAAATAAGCATAATTATTGAAGATAATAATTAAACATTATTACAAATTCATCCTTAATCATAGGCACAAGCTGAAATAGTAAATATGGTTTCCTTCCCGTAAAAACTTAAAGAGGCCCTTGCATTTGATGAATCATTTTCTTTGCCTTGTAACCAGCAATAAAAATGCTTTGTGATTGCCTGCCTTTTAATTATTGTACATATATCTCTACTGCAGAATATGAGATTGCCAGAAGCACTTTATTTCATAAATACCTGAAGTTCAGTTCCCGAGCTCAAAGCGGCTCAGACTATCAGATAGATATGTATGTATTTCATACTATATGCACAGTGTACACTGCATTCTACCTGCTCAGTAATGATATCTTACCCATCACGAAGTCATCACATCCGTACCGTTTAACGCTTCTTATCCAACTGCCATGCGACACTCGCTGTGACGAAAGCTACAGGTCCAAGGAATGCCAGAAAGCTTTCGGGCTGTGCATTCGACTGAAATATGATTCAGCCATAGTCAACAGAGCCGCCAAGCGATAACTCTCATTGTTTTGTCCAGTTTCTCGCCTCACGCCCTGCCCTTAGGTTGTGTTCTTTCGCGCTTAAGCTATAACCATGATGTACACCAAGGCTGAAGTGTAATAGCCTCCAACATGGCACATTGTCACCACCATCTAATCCCGATCTTATCCTGAATTTGCAGAGTCCAGGCAGCAAACATGTCGCTCAGTGCAATGCATTGCACGCGATGCGCCGATGGATTCGAACCCACCGAGAAGATCGTCAACTCCAATGGAGAACTCTGGCACACACAGTGCTTTGTGTAAGTAGAGCAACATAATAAATCCAAAAGCTACATGGAAAAGCCACACAATTCAATACCGAATTTTAAATAATCTTTAAATATATGTATGTATATAAATCTGTCACTTAATAAAATGTTAATTCAAGAAATGGTTTAATTAGTATCTATCCATCAACGAATCTTGTACAATAGTAACCATTTTGCATTAAATAAGACAGTAAGAAGTTCTTTTAAGCATGATACCAAACATTTTCAAAAATTTAAATTTAACATTTTAAAAAATGAAGTCAGTAAGCGATAAGTATTCATCACCCAGCTTAAAAATATTGTATGATTAATACGAAGCTGGTTTTTTTTAATATTCGAAAGATTACTTCCTTAATAATTCCCAACTATATTATTCGTTTTTATATTATTTTCCAGATGTGCTCAGTGCTTCCGACCGTTTCAGGATGGCATATTCTACGAGTTCGAGGGTCGCAAGTACTGCGAACGCGACTTTCAGGTGCTTTTCGCACCCTGCTGCAATAAGTGCGGTGAGTTCGTCATCGGACGGGTCATCAAGGCCATGTCCGCCAGTTGGCATCCGCAGTGCTTCCGCTGCCAGTTGTGCGCCAAGGAGCTGGCCGACTGCGGGTTCATCAAGAACCAGAACCGCGCCTTGTGCCACGAATGCAATGCCAAGGTGAAGGCGGAGATCACCGGCCGCTATGTATGCCAAAAATGCCAGTAAGTTGTGATACCTCCAATTGGAACATTTAGTAATTTCTCTCCTCCCAGTGGCCTCATCGACGAGGAGCCTTTGAGATTCCGAGGGAAGTTACCATGGCTATCACTTTAGTTGCACGGCTGCGGCACCGAGCTGGATTCCACGGCTCGAGAGGTCAAGAGCCGACCAGGATTAGCCGCAAACGATATGGTGGGTATTGGCCAAAAAACAAAGTGCAATAACAAATGCTGGCTATGTAATTTAATTATTTGTATTTATTTCTAACAGAATGAACTGTATTGTCTGCGCTGCCATGATAAAATGGGTATTCCCATTTGTGGTGCCTGTCGTCGGCCAATTGAGGAGCGAGTGGTCACGGCGCTGGGGAAGCACTGGCATGTGGAGCATTCGTGTGCGCCAAGTGCGAGAAACCCTTCCTGGGCCACCGGCACTACGAGAAGCGAGGATTGGCCTACTGCGAGACGCACTATCATCAGCTCTTTGGCAACCTATGCTTCGTTTGCAACCAAGTATTGGAGGCGATGGTGAGCAAATTAAATCAACAAGTTAATGAGTCTTTTTAATAAAATTATTTTCTTATACGAACAGTTTTTACTGCCCTGAACAAGGCCTGGTGTGTACACCACTTTGCCTGCTCCGTGTGCGACACAAAGATGACACAGAAGTCAAAGTTTTACGAGTATGACGAAAAGCCGGTCTGTAAAAAGTGTTATGAGCGATTCCCCAACGAACTGCGCCGACGCCTGCGCACCGCCCACGAGATGACGATGAAAAAGAACGTCTAAACGTCTGGAACCAAGCCTTGAATCCACACCAAACAGTGTCTTTGTTGTTGTAGACCCGCTTTCTCAGCCATTTTTAACATTCGAGAAACTAAAAACGAACTAAAACCCTTTGTGCATGTCTTTTCACTCTGTTGTAACCCTGTTGTGTGTAATTTCTATTGTAAAAACCGCGAATCAACGGCAGCTATAGCTAGGGAACATAATAATTGTATATTAACAGCTTTTAACGTTGTTATTTAATTGAATTTTATTTATACATAAATGTTTTAAAAAGTAAAATCATAATGCTTATTGAGTATGGTCGGAAATTTGAAGAGCCTTGTATTTGACAACAACATGATACAGAATTTTTTAACATATGGCGCTCTTAAAAATACTCCGGGTTTTTCGTTTTAATCATGATGTAAAATGATAGCATTAAATGCGATTACAAGCTCATCAGCTTCTGAATCAAGATCGCGATTTAATTATGGCAATATTGTTCAGGTATTTGACGCTGTCAACATGTACTAGTTCGTGGACCTTCAAGGCGTCCGATAAAAATGAAATCTGTGCAGCATTCGGTTTATGTGGAAAATCTGTAAAATTAATATTTTAATATTATACGTAGACCTGAATTTAATTTTAAACTTCCAAACCCTCAATCACGCAAATATTTGTGGTACAAGGAGTGGTGAAGTCCAACGGATAGCGACGAATATCCATCTCAGTCATATCCTCCACATTGGTGTAGTCCAAGTACATTACTCGATACTTTGTCGGATGTTGCGGGATAGTAATGATCTGCTCCACTCGACCGCGATACCAGGAACCCTCGAAACGGGCGAGAATATATTCCCTAAGCCTGTTGAGAGGGACATGAAATTCTTAAAATATGTTTAAAAACAACTTATATAAATAGTCACTGTGGTTTATAGGGATCCAAATCGGTAATTTCCGACAAACGGCTGTGCAAGGTGGAAAATTCACAGGCGTAGGTGCTGTCAAAAGCCCCAAAAATTCCGCGATCCTTTTTTGAACTGTCCACAACAAATACATCAATGCCTTCCTTACTATGAGTTGTGAAACGGCGTAGCTCAAAAGGCTAATAAATAATTAGTTTTGGTATTCATTTTGATATATAATTTTTACTCACAGGTTTAAGTAGAGCTTCATTTTTTGGCCTTACAATACCATTTTCTTGGGGATTAGCTTTAGAGATAGACAGCGAATCTAATAATCCTTTAAGTTTTGGTAATTCCAATGGAACTGCTTGATCCGTTTTCGTAATTTCAGATGGAGGAGTAATTTTCGCGCTAGGCATTGCGTTAAAAACTCTTTTACTTCTTCATCTTTGGGTTTTGATACGATTTCAGGAGCAGATTTAATAGCCTGATCAATGGTGGTTGGTTTTTCATCGTTACTGGGTACCTCAAGTGTAAGATTGGATAATTTCTTAATTTCAAGGCTGCTTGCTCCTTCATCTTTGGTTTTGGATCCAACTAAAGTCTTGGAAATGCTATCTTCGGTTTTTTTCGATTCCTCAACAGCAGGCTTTTGGTCAATATTATTTTCTTGGTTAACTGAGAGGTCTTTAGAAAGATCAACGGACGGTGTTTTCTTAATATCTTTAATGTCCGCGCGGGATCCAAAAAAACAGTTAAATACTTCGCTTGGGGACATTTTCTTAAGATCCTGCTCTTTTTTTGATTCCTGAACAGCTGGCTTTTTGTCAATGTTATTTTCTTGGTTAACTGAGAGTCTTTAGAAAGATCAACGGACGGTGTTTCTTTACTATCTTTAATAGTCGCGCGGGATCCAAAAAAACAGCTAAATTTTTCGCTTGGGGACATTTTCTCAAAATCCTGCTCTTTAATACCCCTTTCACTAAAATAAGAACGGAAAAAGTCACTAGGCTCATCTTTCTTAATGTTCTTCTGGGGTGAAGCTGCTGTTACTCCTTGAATTTGATCGATCTGAATGCTAGCCTCAGTTTCTTTATTTTTTAAGGATACTTGGGGCTCTACTTTTGCTGAAGTATTATTGCCAACTTCAAAAACTGGTTTAGACTGATTTTGAGTAATTGTTTCTTGTCCAGCTGTTGGACTCGGCTTCTTTGGTGTCTCTTTATTTTTGTCTGAGAAAGACAAAGCATTTCTAGGATCGCTCTGATTCTTTACTTCTGTTTCTAGTTTGTTTAAAAATTCCTGGGTAGTTATTTGTGGTCCTTGAGAAACAGCCAGAGAATTATTGACCACAGCACTTGCAATAGTTTTATTATCTTTGGTAGTTTGCTGACCAGATGGGGGAATTGGCCGATTAAGCTTCTCATTCTTTTTATAAGAGTTCATATTTTCGTAAATCTTTTTGTTGGCGCAGTAATCACGTATTTTTGCATTTAGTGACATTTTTGTCTCTGGATGCAATAGTTCTACTTGTATGCACCCAGGAGTTTTTTCATGGACTGCCACATACATCTCGCCCTCGAATTGCGAGGTGAATGCGAAGAAATCTTCGCTTACCGCATAGTTGGGCACATCCTTGAGCTGCACCTGCAGAGTGAAGCAGGGCAGGGATAACAACTCATCATTGATCTCCCGCATTTCCGAAACAGTTCTCGACGTAACGACTCCATGATCCAGAAGTTGTAGTCGGCGGTGTATTACCAAAGACGTTCATCGCCTTGGCCCGCTGGAATGTCCCATTATGACGAGCCAGGCAGAATCCAAAGGGACGTGGCTTCACCATTCGGGGAAGCTCATTTCCAATGGTATTAACCTGTGGAGATTCCAAAATTTGTTTAATACGAAAAAATGGTAGAGTTGATTGGCCTTTACGGAAAGACCTTCAAAATAGGTGTTTATAAACCGAAAAATTAGGGAAAATAACTAATTAAAAATGTATTTTAAATGGATTATTTTTAATAATATTTAATAATAGCAAATCTAGTTTATTTAATTGATATTTAACTAAATATTACCATACTTCCTGGATAAGAGTTGGTATAAAAATTTTGACAAAACCAAATAATAATACATTTTTAAGAAGCTAAAATTTATTTTATGGGTCAAAATTGCCACATTTGTTTTGAGAATTGGCTAATAATCACGTATTTTGATTTTTGGCTTTCCTTAGAATTCACTTAGGAAAGTTTTTTGTACTGAAATTTGAGTATGTACAAACCTTTTCGCAAACTTGGGCAAATGCCCTGTCAGCAACTTCGCTGGCATCGCGAATATAGCAGCGATTCGCGGATTTGAATGCCATTATAAATACCAGACTATTGCTGGGAGGCATGATCGCTTTTGGCAGGGAAATATTTTTGTTTTTGCCTTGTTGCCGCTGTTATTCGAAATGAGTTGCGTGGGGGAGTGGGAAGAATCGGAATTTTGTTTTGGGGTGCAATATTGCTGGCACTGGAAATCTTATTGCCCTCCACATCGGAATTAGGCTTGGAGAGCTGGCTAGAGTTGCCCCAACTACGGTTTTATCACTATTAACCGAACATGCACCCTCCAAAGATAACTCATGGCAGCTCTGGAACACCGAATGGACTTGGGATGGACCAGAGCGGGCAGAGGGAAGCAAATGTAGCGATGACGTGGCCAATCCTGGACCTGACAGTCCTTGGAGCAGTAGTAATCGCCGCAACGCTGACAGATCCTTTCCGCTGCGACTGCGCAGTGGACGCACTTTCCTTTTCTTCCGCAAGCTGCAATATTTAAATTTTTCCGGTTTTTGAATGGATTTCTTACAGACTTTTCCCGATTTGATTCTAACCTGGGCACCAGCAACTGCCTTTTTGGGTGGCATTTTCTCTCACTGATTTTCGAATCAAACACGAGAAAGGACGTCTTTTTCAACGTCAAAGCTCAACAATAAAATCTAAAACCCCACAGTGTTACCGGCGGGTTAAATTGGGATTTCCCGTTAAGAACTTTAGGACTTTCAGAAGTTCGATGGTATTAAAAAAATACTCCGTTTCCACTGAATTTCATTTGGCGCGAACCTTTTAAATGTATAATGATATTCTTTGATTGCTGGTTTTAGTAAAAAAGATTTAAGTTAGGAAATTACAATTATTTATTAAAACAAATAAACTATTTTAAAGATTAGATATCATTATCCTACCATTTATATTTCACAATTGATTTATAAAACAAATCTGAAGTTGCAGCTCAGTGTAATCAGCTGATTTACTTGACATCGGTGTAAATGTTTATCGATAACTCTGTTGATACCACGGGACTTGCTGTTGCGATTTTAAATGAAATAATTTTGAAATGTCGCTGCAACCGGGTGAATTACTTTGCCGAGTTTGCCTCCAGCAGGACGAACTCCTGGTGGACATTTTCGAAACCGTGGAGGAGCTGCAAGCGGATCTGAGCACATTGCTAGAAACTTGTGGCAACATTAAGGTGAGATTCCCATCAATTTTAGCGAGCTATTTAACAATTTTGCATAAATATTCCTGTCAGGTGGGCCGTACCGATGCGTATCCAAAGTATCTGTGCCAGGAGTGCACCAACGAGCTGCTCATCGCGGCCAAGTTTCGGAAAAAGTGCGCGGAGACTGAGAAAAGATTGCGGGATGAGACTTTCAGGATAAATATGGACACCGCAGAACTTGTGGTGGCGGAGGAAATCATAATTTTCGATCCGAATGACTACAAAGTGGAGCCGCACTCTCCTGGTGAGGATGGTGTAGAGGAACCTACTGAAATTTTGAGATCAAACTGCTGGGATTGTGGAGCGGTTTTTCAGCTACCCGCAGCCCTACGTCGGCACATCGAAAAAGTTCATACCTCTGTTATCATATACGATTGTGAGAAGTGCGGAGGATTCTTTACAGAATTCCGTAGCTACCAGAGTCACAAGTGTCCCACTTCCGGATTCCAGAAGGGCGAACACAGTTGCTCGGAATGTGGCAAGTGCCTGCAATCCTCCTCCAGTCTGGCGGTGCACATGCGCCTGCACAGCAACGAGAGGCCTTTCACCTGCGACTTGTGTCCCAAGACCTTCAGGACAAATGGGCACTAGTAGCCCATCAGAGGCGCCACCAACAGCTGTTGCAGTACAAGTGTCCGCACTGCGGACGCGGTTTTGTGGAGTCTAGCAACCTGCGACGCCACATAACCGCTCGTCACACAGGTGAACGTCCGCATCCATGCACCATTTGTCAGCGTAGCTTCTCCAGGGTCTACCTGCTGCAGCTGCACCTCAGGACGCACACAGGCGAACGACCCTACGCCTGCGATCATTGCGACAAAAGGTTCGCCCAGCTGGGAGTCCTTAGGAGCCACGAAAGGATCCACACCGGTGAACGGCTGCACCGCTGCCAAGTGTGCGAAAAGACCTTTACGCGGGCGGGGCAGCTCCGAAAGCACGAGATGCGTCATGAAACGATCTGATAGCTTAGGCGGCCAATGCACTTTGTATCGCGGTCAAGGCAAGAGCTATCAGCAGCCTTATCATGGGTTTTGAAATCCTCTTTCAATGCCAAGGTGATGCTTTCAGCCCACTATTGTTTGGGAACTCAAAAGAAAAGATGTACAAAAGTGGAGTGTTGTTGGGAATAATATTAGTGCTGCTGTTCGCAGAAGGCAGCCTGTCATCACGTCGCCAAACTCGTGGAGTACACGTTAAATTACCAAGGTAAGCATTTGTTATGTTTATTTGTAATTATTATAAATTTATTTATTATTTTCAGCAGTGCTGGCACGGCGGCAGTGTCCGGAGCAGTTCGCAGTTTGAAGGAGAAGATTGAGCAGCAGACAGAGGTACTGAATCGCCTGGCCAATGCCACTGAGAAGCTATCAGAAAGTTCGGGATTCTTCCTGCGTAATTGTGCCTTGACCGACAAGTACGGATACACCCGGATCCAAGTGGAAGAGGGGAGCAAGCCTTTCGATGTATTTTGCGAACAGGTCTCGACGAGGGAGGCTGGACATTGGTGCTGCAGCGATTCAATGGCACTCATCGCAGCGCGCAGGAGTTCCGGGAGGGGTACAACAGCATTGCGGCCGGGGAGTACTTCCTGGGCACCGACAAGCTGTACGCGTTGACTCACTCTCGCGACCACGAGCTGCTCTTCATTGTGGAGTTTGTGGATATGACGACACGTACGTACCGGGCACAGCGGTTCGTTTTGCAGAGCCCAACCGCTCATCTGAAATGGGAAAGGGAGCAGGACACCGCCCGCTACAGTTGGTCCTTGTGGGAGCAGGAGATTGCTCGCCTGCCACCTGGAAAATCATGGGAGTGGGAGTCGGCTAAGGGTTGTACTTCTGATTTGTGTGGCCCAGAGCGATTGTGAGTTGGTTACCTGTACTTACCTCTACCTACTTTTTAAATAACTATATTTTTCAATTTTCTTAGCATTGTTTTTCTGCTCAAGTGGAATTTCGCTATGCAGAACAGTAGCCCGATAATGGGACGCCCTGCTATTCGACTTCTCAAGCTGTTTCTGCGTCCATCCAATGCCTACTGGACAGTTCGAAACTAATGAGATACCTCTAACATCACATCCTATTTTTTATTTTGCTTCTCTTTGTTTCCTGATCGAAAACGGATTGCTCATTAATAATTATAGCTCCATAACTGAAAAAATGGAGTCTTACATTTGATATAAATGGAATTTTTTGACCCCAAATAAAACATGATAAGCTAGTTTGTTTTTTATAATTTTTTATTGCATGCAGGTAAGAGTTAGTAATTCTTCTTGTAATTGGTTTACATTTGCTTTGATTTGCAATTATCCTAAAAGTTACAACAAGTGACGCAGTTATATGCTATATATATCCGAATATTGTATAGATGTATATCGGGATTGTATGGTATATTCTTTGATGAAGTTAAATTATAATTGAAGAGACAAACTTGTACTCGTTTATAACTAGGTTGGGAGCACAATTTGTCGTTTTGATTTTTTCATTTCCATATCTAACCCGCTCTCGGGGCATCTTCGATCCTATTTGTACAATAATGTATACGTATATTTATATATGGTTTTATATATAAATACGGTTAGTCATCGTTTGATTTGATTTTCATGCATTTTCGAGTAATGTACTTGCTTAATTTAATTACGGGTAAATTACGAAATTAGTTAAGTTCTTCGGGTGCTATTCCTCGTATGGCTCAATTCTCTTTGGGTTTTGCTTCGGATCGTAGTCGTATCTTTGTCTTCCATTATGGCGGCGGGATAAGCTGCACTCGTTCCACATCTACATCAGACTCGGGTTCGTTATGGGGATCATGATCAGAGTCGAAGGTAAGGGGGTCGGGTCGTTTTTTGGTTTTGGGGGGTCACACTTAGTCTACAAAAGCGTCGCCTCTGGGTAAAGGGAAATACGAAAGAAATCGATTTAATACTAGGTGCGGGGGGAGCAAACAACAGGTCAACAGGTGAGAAACAGGTGCATAACGGGGTGCCCACGGGTCCTTCTTATAGCGCTGATCCCTGCTCAATCCTTCGCTGATACTTACGCGCCTGCACGCTCAGATCATCGAGCAGGAGTTCGCTGGAGGACTTGGATCGCTTGGGGAAGATTAGGGCCTTGCGGAGCGGCGTGACATGGGCGATGGCCACCTGGGAGCGGGACTGCGGCTTGGGTGGAGGTCTGGGCGCCCGTTTCTGCTTGTGGGAGGGCTTTCTCAGCTGCTGCACAAAGGACTTGCTGACGGTGGAGCCCCTGTTGAAGTCTTCCGTCCTGTTGAGCGCCGCATCGCCAGCATATTTCTGCAGCGTCTTGTTGTCCTGCGACTTGAGACGCTCGAAGAGATTGGTGAGTGTGCGGGAGCGGGGTGGCGAGGGGGCGGGATACTTGTTGAGATTCAATTGGGGTGTACTATGCTTGGGGGTTCGCCCCGCCCCCACGCCCGCACTGGCGGTGGGCGTGGTCGAGGCCGTTTGCGCCCTGCTGGCGAAGACCTCGTCATCCAATTCGCTCAGGCTCACCAGCATGTGCTCGTCCTCGAAGAGATCATCGGTATTGGTCTGCGTTTGGGTCTGCGTTCCCTTCTCATCCTCGTTCTCGTCATCGTAGCAGGAGAATATCTCATCGAAAGCGGCATTAACTATGAAGGATTCGTCCTGCAGCTCCTCGTTGTCCTCCAGGCTGGCATGTCTGCCCAAAGTGCCGAACAGATTCTTGCGATAGTCCTCGAAGGTGGACTGCTGCAGCTGCTCCCGGGAGCGATCCACTCGCTGTGCCGGCTGCCAGAAGCCGGAGGCCAGGGTTTGGGTGCTGCAACTGTTGGTCAAGACCCCCTCGTGCAAGGATTGCTGCTTTTGTGGCTGCGACTGTGTGCGTGAGCGTGCATTTTGCTGATGTTGCTGGCTGTGATGTTGCTGCTGCAGGTGTTGCTGCTGCTGCAAGCGCTGGCGGTGCAATTGCTGCACCAGCCGCTGGCGCATCTCCTGCGAGCGGCGCTTCAGCTGGCTGTACTTGCTCTGGGTGGTGCCGCCGGTGGTCGTCGTCGTTTCATACTTACTCAGCTCCCTCTCCGGATGCCGATCCTCCTCCTCCGCCAGGCGACGTTGCAGTGCCAGGGTCTCGAACGTGTGCACCACACTGCCCACATGCGTGCTGATCTCGGGTATCCCAAGATCCCCGCTAAAGAGATCCGCATTGCGTCTGGTCAGCGACTTGGTGGCATGCCCATGGCCGGGGGCGTGGCAGTGGCGCAGGGGCGGCACTGGGCAGCTGGAATCGGGGGGATATTGCTCGAGGAACTCGCATGAGTCGTGCTGCCAGAGCAGGTTGCCCAGTTCGTCGTGACCGCTGCTTCTGGCCTGGGAACTCGACTGGAGGTGTTGTTGGTTGTAAGCAGTGTGGTTTGTGGAGTGTCGATGTTGTTGTGTGTGGTTTGAGTTGTCATTGTTGTTGTTGTTGGCAGATATTTCAAGCAATTCGTTAATGAAACAAATAAACAAAATCTCATTAGCCGAGTTTGGGGGTCAAAGAACACGGTCTGCTTTTGTGTGCTAAGTCTGGTGGCTGGTGAGCTTTTTCGGGTTTCTCTTTTTTGGATTCTAGGGTCAGGGGTTAGGGGGTTTCAGGGTTTCAGGGGTTCAGAGGGTTCAGGGAGTGGTGGGCCTGGCTTAGGTCTACAATAGAAGTAACTAGTTTCATACGCTTATCCATTCTATGTACACAATTAACAATAAGCTGCATATATGCCACTCCAAATGGCCTCTCAATTGCGTTTTGACATTTGCTACGAACTAAATTAGTTTATAGACTAGGTAAATATTTAATTCATTTAGGGGCTATCATCATACGAAAACAACAAGCTGCCCAAACAGTTGGCATTCAAAACACTTAACTCCCCCCAAGCCTTCTTCTTCTGTATGCGGCAGCTGTAAAAATGCCAGGAATCGTCATCCGGCAGCCGCAAAATCAAATTTGCATTGCAATCAGGAATGCATCTTGCAGCTCCAAATCCTGTTTGCAAATTCTCTCAATCAAATGAAAACTTTCAACCATTTGGCGAACACAGAAATGTGTGAGTGTGGTGTGGGCGTTCTACAAATCCAGGTATTCAATGGGTGTCCCAAAAATGCGGCATAATTATGCCATAATATATTCGCAAATTGGTGGGTATAATAAATTAAATTATTAACGGAATTTTAGTGCTTTGCCATATTAAATAAAAACGAAAAGTAAGGTAACAAAATACCTTTTCAAAATACCAGCTTGCATGTGAATGGTTATGTATTTTACTTTGGGTGGGTTGGATTTCCATTGGAACATTGTTTACCATCACTGCTTAATGAAGTTAATAAATGTGCCCTTTTACCAATTAACAAACAAAAATAATGGTTTCAATTATAATTGCATACGTGTTTCCTATTAAAACCGAACTGGATTAATTTATAATTAACAAAATAAAGAGGGAAATGTGCTTTTCCGCATGGAATTCCGTATAACAGTTTAGGGTTACCAAATATATTTATATCGATGAATGAGCAGAGTTATTACCTATTCTCGGTTTATGGGAATACTTTATAAAGGTATTAATCAAACAAACTAACAGGAGATTTGTGAAATTTTTGGATGCTGGATTTTGTATAGACCAGCTTTCAAAGTCTAAGGGTCATGAAAATTTGGTTATGTAATGCCTTTTTGGGACACCCTTATACCTCTGTTATTCTGTTAGTGAGTGTGTGTGCCTGAGTGTGCTGGTGACTAATAATAGTTATTATCAAATGGTAGGCTATCACTGGAGCTGGAGAAGTGTTGCTGTTGCTGCGGGGGCAGGGGCAACACCTGGTTGCTGCAACCATTGCGCTTGGCCGCCTTGCTGTTGCCGCTGCACTTTTGCTGTTGCTGCTGCTGTTGCTGTTGCTGCTTGTGAGGACCTTGAAGTCGTCCTGCGACTTGCTGCTGCTGCCCTTCGAGCCGTGCTTGCCCCCCTTGTGCCCCTTGCCGTGCTTGGTGTGCTTCAGGCTGTGGTGTTGCTGCTGCTGCTGCTGGTGTTGCTGGTGCACCCCCTGTTGCTGCTGCACATGCGGGTGGCTGTAGCGATCGCTGCCGTGCTGCGGATGGTAGTGGTGCTCATGTGGGCAATGTTGCTGCTGCTGTGGTAGTGCTGCGTATGTGGCTGCTGCTGCAGATGTTGCTGGGTGTGGTTGCTGTTGTCGCTGGCCGTGCCGCTGCTGCCGTAACTGTAGATCTGCGACTTGGACTGGCTGCGCAGCGGTTGCTGCTGCATCGTGGCCACACTGTAGTGATCCAAGCTGTCGAATGTCTGCAGATAGTGCGGATTGATCTGGGTGCAATAGTCGCCGCTGCCGTTGTTCTGTTGCTGCTTGCGATCGAGGGTATTGCGTGTGTTGCTGCCGGGATGTTGCTGGTACGTCAGGTGTTGGTAGTGCGACTCCTGTTGCTGCTGCTGCTGCTGCTGCTTGGCCCCGTTTTTCAAGGGCAATGGGGGCGGCTGAGGGGACTTTCGGTGACCGCTCGACTTGAAACTGTTGTTGCCGCTGTGCAGGGTCAGGCTGTTGTTGCTGTTGCTGTTGTTGCTGTTGCTGTGGTTGCTGCTGCTGCAGTCGGACTTCGTCTTGATGGCCACAAACGTGTTGGGCAGCGGCGGCAGCAGGGGCGGCGTACCGGTGGGCGTGGCTATCGTGGTCGAGGGCGAGCTGGCCACGCCCACTTCCCGTTCCCGCTCGCGCTACGCGATGTGATGACCGCCAAATGTTCGAAGGACCGGTACGCTCTGATTTTTGTGGTTTTTTTTTTATCGGGGAATTGTTGTTGGTGTTGTTGTTGTGGGTGGTGTTTTTGTTGGTGGGTTGGTGGTTCACATTAAAAGTGTGGTGTGCGTTGTGGTGTGTGTTGGTTAAATGCGCATTTTGGTTGGTTGGTTGGTTGTTGTTATCGGAAAATGAAATGTCAGAGCGTAAAAAGAGACGAAAAAGGAAAAGAGTAGACACTTATCATATAAGTTGTGTATGATATAAGTATTTAAATATTTTTGCTTAAGAAGAGTATACGTAGGTGTCGTGGTGTGAGTGTTGGTGTTCGGTATTTCTTGTGGGGATTCGGGGAAAGTGCGTCCGTTGGCAATTGTCTTTACTGTGTTTTCATATCTGGTCACTAACCGATGGCCCGGTCAGTTGGTAATTCATATATATATACATATATAGCTAAGCTCGACTCACGTACAGGTGCTAGTATTTAATGGTTTGGAAATAAAAATTAAAATCAGCAGGTACGTATTTATACAGACTAGGTGCTCTATATCTTATCCAGATCTTGGCCAGCGCCCTGTGAGCTTCAAGACAATAATTATGCAAAACGTTCCACTTACATTTTGGGAATAGCTGCAGGTGCTTTTTTTGGGGGACTTCATGCAAAGGGTGCTGGGATACAAGGATGCAAAGGATGCAAGGATGCAGTGGCAACAGGCGGGCGAGGGGTAAAGGCTAATTGGAGAGCGAAACTTATTAAATTTGGCTGCAAGTTAAGCGTCGGCACACCCACACAGATAAGTACACATGCATATAACGCTAATTAACCAGGCTAATTTGAAAAAAGTGAGCGCCAAGTTTGCATTAAGTCAAGTTAAACGAAGTTGTCGCATTTCAGGGACTTTTCGTGACTTCTGTTTGAGGCTGGCGTGGTAGGTAATTTTACATTAAATTAAAAAACTTTCCGCCCCTTTGGCAGCAGCAAGCGCAACTGTTTTTTCTATCTATCCTGGCGGCAGAAGCTTCCTTCCTTCCTTCTGTCTGTCTGAGAAGCACTGTAAATGCACTTTATGCATAGTCAATAACGCACTCGCCGCACACGCATACAAACACACATGTGAAAAGCGGTCGGGGGCTTGGGGTCAGGGGTTAAAGAAAACTTTCAGTCGCTCACTCAATGCAGTCTCAAAGACACTACAGGGTGCACTTGTCGAGCAACTTGGCTCAACGGAAAAGTTGACAGGCATTGACATAATTTTACGCGCAATGACGACTTGAAGGAGCCGCAGGATGTGTCTGCATGTCGTTTTCCCCAAGTGCTCGAGTGCTCAAGAGCCACACCCTACTTGCCACATTGCCACATTGGCACATTGCATTTTCTGCATCATTTAGCTAGTGCTGCATTCGCAAATTGATGGAAATTTAATAGACCCGCCACATAATTGTGGCTAATGATGGATGACTGCGATCGAAGACCATCTGCTGCTGCTGTCCGGAAAAGTCCACAAAATAAAAAGAAATCGGTGGGCGATGGAACAGCGGTAGCAACATCATCAACAGCAGCCGGAAATGGGAAAATGGGAACGGGAAAGTGGGAATGGGAATGGGTGCGCTCGGCGGAAGTTCAACTCAGTGCCACAAAAATTTGAAAACTTTGTAAACAAAACTTTGAACTCGGCACTTTTGCTGCTGGCGCGAAACGAAACGAAAAACATCAGGCGACGATCCGCAGGACCTTTAGGATAAAAATGGCTGAGCACCCGTCCCCCATTTCAGTTCTCCCTTCTCCCGGTTGTCAACTGCACAAAGTTTTCCACACGGCAAATGGTAACTGAACTTGCTCGAAACTTGGATGAGGACCAGGACAGGCACTGGAGTTCAACTGGAATCCACTCTGCATACAACAACAAAGGCGTTCATCAATTGTCCAGCGGATGTTGAGTTCAGCCGGGGCGGAATGTGGATGGGATAGGAATGGCGATGGGGGTTGGATGGGAGGAGAAGAGGATGGGGACCCGAGATTCAGATAGAGAGTGAGCAGTGACAGCGACAACGACGACGACAGTTGCAGCCAGGCTTCCGCTAAGCTCGGCTACATCCGCCCCCCAAATCACCGAACTTCCACCCCTCGTTTGTTTATACACAGAGAAAAATATCACCTCTAACTTAAACCTACGCTTCTATTAGCTATACCCTCCTGATTAACCATAAATTGTTAGAAAATGTAAAGGGGAAAAGATATTTTGAAATTATACAACTGTAAAATATAAGTAAAAGTAGGTATAAAAGAAAATAGGCATCACCAGTTTAAAATTTTAAATTTTAAACAATAATAAATATCCTTAAAATTATGCGATGCTTGATGTTGTTTAAATTATAAAAACATTTATAAATAATATAGCTGATTCAACCAACATTATTTTACAAGGCCAAAACAAAAATGTATCTAAAATCTAAAGCTTTTCTCCCTGTGCACCCACACTCACACACCTATCAAAGCTAACTGCACTTCAAAAATGGCTTCTATCTGCCATACACAACACTACAAAGTACAGATGCCGAAGAGAAAAATAAATTTAAAAGAATATTCTTTTGTAAATATTACTTTG